ATTTTTGGTATAGTAGTTGTGACTTATTCACACTATATACATTTGGCTTCCGCAACACATATTAATACTGACAGAAGGATCAAAGTTGTGGCTACTTCCACTGCATTTTAGATTTCTCAATTATAAAAATGTCATGGTACAATACTTGCTCATTTACAAGAATAAGAGAGGAAGTGAAACTTAAATAATACACATGCTCACACCTATACATATTTAATGCACGTAATATTAGAATATTAATTATAAAAAATAGTGGTAGATTTCTATCAAATTATTCTATTTAAAAATAGTGGTAACTTATAAAATGATTATTCTATCTATAGTGTTAATGTATTTAAATTAAATCTATAATAAGAGATATCATTATTTAAATTGCAAGTAAAACACCTTGGTAAAAAAGAAAATATCATATATGGTATTTACATTTGGAATGATATCATTATTTAACAGTTGTAGTTTTCACCCTTTTGTAGCTAAAAGAAAAAGATAGTCATGAAATGGAAGATATTTACATTTGAAATGTCTGGAAATGATGATACAAACTGCCGTAAATGGTTTTAATACAATTCCTCCATTTTCTTTTCCTTCCCTTCCACCTATTGACTCAAGCGAATTCTTTCATCACCTCCGTAGACTTATCACTTTTATAAGGTCTTAGATCCACTCTTAGCTTTACCTCGGGAAACTTATACTTAATAAAAACAAATTAAGGGTGTGTTTGGTAAGTTAAAAGTCATTTACAAAAAGTAAATTTCGAAAAATGACATATTTTTTTAATTTTTTTTACCTAGTAAATGTTTTTCATTATTTGGTTGGAAAGTCCAGTACCCGCTGAAGTGAAATCCGCTTTAGCATCATCAACAGGCACAGAAGAAATGGAAAAAATTGGATTTGTGGACTCGCCCCAAGATGGAAGGGAAGAAATATTTTCTAAACGGACTAATAATATTGTCTAAGTGCTATATGAAGTTCATAATTCAAATATTATCTAGTATGTTGAGCTTGACTCATTGTTGCCTCATGCAGGAGTGGACTAGAAAGGCAGAAGAAGGAACTTCCTGCGCCAGAAAAACAGAGTTTCGAGCCAAAGTTAATCGGTGGAGTTTGTTGCGATGCATTTCATGTCCTATATTTTTTCTGCCAATAAGTATACCTTGTTTGTACTATTTTTCTTCTTTCTGGTTCTGATATTTTGATTGCTTGACTGTACACTGAGTAATTTTTTTGTTTAAGTTGTGTTGTGTAGTACATTCAAAAATTTGGCATATGTCCTTGCTTTGGTACAATTATGAGCTAAAGAGCCATTGAGGGGAAGAGAAACTTTTTGGATAAATCACTTGAAAAATATATTTTACATATTTACAGAGTCAATACCCTGCAGATTAGGCAGATTACATATAAACAAAATGACCAAGTGATGTTAGTCATTGTGAGTGGTGAAGTGTAATATACATGCTGATTGCGAATGCTAATTAGCTTCACAGTTCAAATCTGGATCATCAACTGTGTTGAAGTACAATGTTGAAAGTTTGTCATCAAATTTGGAAACCAGTAACGCTTCCCTAGTCGAGCAATGAAAATGTCAATTATTTTCTTGAACATGTCATCTCCTTTTATTAGGGGCTACTCCACAAACTCAGCTAGAGGTATCCACTGCATCGCGAACAGAAAGGCAGGCTAAGTAAATGCAAGGTAAAATAAAACTACACACTCTCGTCAGAATTGTTCAAAAAATGGACTTTGGATCTAACTCAACTCCTAAAGCTAGATCATAAGGTGAGGATGGTCCAAAATCATATAAGAAAAGAACTAACACATTTTCCCACTCAATATGAGATACTTAGCATCCCTCGCATGCCCAGGATTGAACATTTTGTGCATGGACAATACAGTGTGGCGCAAAGCCAAGAATATGATGAGTGGTGTAACTCTGATACTATGTGAAGAAAAGTGAACATTTAATTTAACATAAAAAGCTAGCTCATTGGGCGAGGAAACAACAAATTTCCCAAACCAATGTGGAACATTAAACAAGAATGAAAATGCCAATAGATGAGTATATTCTAAATATTAATGTTAGATGTTAATGGCCCATATTCTGAAATGACGGAATAAGTAGTTTCTCAATTTTCTTGAGGTTAATCAATGTTTTCCTCCAGAAAATACATGTAATGAATAAAATACATGACACGTTAAACTAAGGTTTATAGTGTGATTGTCTCAAATAGCATGAGTGAGAGCAAGAAGCTCAATTAATATTGAAGATGGGCAGTTTTTTTGTAATTGGAAGAAAATAAATCTTATATTTCTATATCAGATGCACATTCGTTTTGATCAATTTGTTACATCAGAAAGCAAGAAGTGTCCTAAACAATGAAGTCTAGGGGAGCCTTAGCGTAACGATAAAAGTTGTCGCAGTGTGACCAAGAGGTCATAGGTTCAAGCGACAGAAACAACTTATTGTAGAAATCGAAAGTAAGGCTACGTACATAAGAACCAATGTGGTCCGGCCTTACCCGAACCCCGCACATAGCAGGCGCTTAGTGCACTAGGCTGTCCTTTTTTAGCAAGCAAGAAGTGTCCTAAACAGTTAAATCTAGCAAATTGTACTTCTATATTCTCTATGTGTCTGAGCAAAGTTCACTCGGATTCTTATCGTATCAGCATTTCATGTTCTTATAAAATATGCTAATATAGATCTTCCTAAAGCTAAAAAGGCATATAATCATCAAAAATCATGGTCCTTCGAAGAGGAAGATTTTTGTTACCTGAAAGTCATAACCTCCACAAATTCAGTATCAATCTATAAAGAATAATGAGAAAGAAAATTCATCATTTAAATTAAAATTTCTCACTATACATTGCTTATCTAAGTAAAAAATATGTTTAAGTGCGGATTTCTTACCCCAATTTCCTCCACTTCTCTCACAACTCCTGTAAAGATCTCCTCTGACTTTATTTTGACACAAGAACAACGTTTAAGGAGCCAAGCATCAAGATTTCATGTTTCACTATTTACTTCAGTCAAAACTTAAAAGCGACCAAGATCAAAATGCAATACAGGAATATACCTCAAGAATGAAACCAGTTGGTATTTTCCATAAGCCTGAAAGAGTCCACGCAGAATGTTTCTCTTGCACGACGATGTCACGATCCGGATTTTTCACCCTCGGGAGTCGCGATGACGCCTACTAATATGATCTAGGAAAGCCAATTATTGAATGATTTACCTTTTTACCATTTTTATTCTCTTTAACATTATATAAAAACATAACATGTAAACAACGAAAATTTAGATTAAGTGGAAGAAAACAATAAAATATCTGAACGTATAGATGTTGCAACAATTTAAGCCTTAACCACCCAGAACTGGTGTCACAGTATCACAGACGGTCTAAGATTTACTACATACAAAGTTCGGAAAAAAAATAACGATACACTGTTTCTGAATTAAAGAAAACAAAACAGGAAATAAGGGATAGAGGGAGATGCCAGGGCCTGCGGACGCTTGCAGGTCTACCTTGGATCTCCGTGGACTGAAGGTAGCCTCCAAACTACGGTCCAAAAGCTACTCCGAGATCTGCACATAGTGCAGAGTGTAGTATCTGTCGCACCTCCTTTTTTACACTCCTGAAGGTATATAAGGGAGTTTTTCTACTTAAGGTGACATCATTCGAAACGAGATTATTTATTTATCAGAGTCGCCACTTGGGATATTTATTATGGTGTCCCAAGTCACGTTTATTTTAAATCCCAAATCGAGGAAATTCGACTTTCCTTCCTAAGTAAGGAATTTTGTTAACCCGAGAGAAGGTGTTAGGCATTCCCGGGTTCTGTGGTTCTAGCACGGTCGCGTAAACTATTACAATTGGTCTATTATCTGATTTATTACATGTTTTAACCTATTGTGCATTTTTAGCTTTATAACTGCATTTAAATAGTTTAATCGTTTTTAGGATGCTTCAACATCATTTAAAAACATGCCTTGAACCGCACCACATGAAATGCACCCACGGTCCACGACACGTTTTATTTAAAGTTATTGAGAATTAAAATTAGGTCACATGAAATGCACACCTGAATTTAATAATTTAAAGAAAATCAATTTAAAGAGCGCGCCTAAAGCAACTACGAAGGTTCAAATTAACAATGTTTGCGAAGGCCATGGAAAATTCAATTGATGGCACACCTCGATTTTTAAAGAGTTAATATTAATTAAATGAGGGCCATGGGTTATTTAATGAAAATGGCACACCTCAAATTTTCTATAAAAACTAGCTAGTTTTGTGAGGGCCATGAGCTTAGGAGTTTTATTTGGCATGGCACGCCTCAAATCCATTTTAAGAATCTAGTTAATTAAGGAAAAAACTTAAAGGGATTCTAATTAATTATTCAAACCTATGTAGCAACTAACAAGCATTGTATTAAGCCACCAATTGTCTAAAAGGGAATTTCCTCCACAATAAAGCAACTAAACGAAGGAGCTGAATTTGATGAAACGCAACAGGCCAAAGTAACCAAGAGGTAAACAATCTATTTACGGATGTCTTCAGGCTTGGGTCCAAAATGAGCCCAATTTTTAATGGAAGCATGAGTGTCCAAACCATAGAACATTTGTGCAAATTGGGCCAGCATTAGGCCCAATCTTCAGAACCAAACACTTGTGCAAATTCATTTAAATGCCAATCAACTAAAACTATATAAAACACGAAATTAAACTAACATTCTACTTCTGAATTTTTAAACTATTGAAACACAAACCAACTAGCTAAACATTCTGTATTTTTAACATCCATGCATCTTTGGGCCGAGCCCGCTATAAAAATAACAGTAACAACAAACAGACATGGTACTGGGCTTAAGAAACATGCCCAAATATCAATGGTCATACCATTTTTCCTTGCAAAGTGACATCAAAGTCCCAGGCCCAAGGAATTTAAACCTTGCAAGAGCCAAGGGGAAAGAGCAGGACTCAATGTCGAGTCCCTAACAACACAAAAACTTTACAGGCTATTAGCTCAACTTACACTAAAATAACATATTCTTATCCTCAATTGCACTGATGACCAAACTAAACAAATGTTCATTCTTGCATTCAATTTCTAAGCTAATTTCACAAATGAACGTATGAAACCTAAACTCATTTAAACTCTCTTTCACTATCAACAGTAACAGGATACAGGGAATTAGTAAATTATTCACTTGAATCTCAAAAGACATACTAAAATTCTTAACATCATAGATTCATTTCAACAACCTATCAGTAACAAGAGAAGAGTTGAAGTAACATGTATAGTTTAGGATTTACACATAGAACACTTCATAAATGAGAGAATCAGAACCACACTTTAGAGTTTCGCACAAACTCAAACATGAAATGAGTCTGCTATTACATATCTAGGACATGTAAAAAGGCAATAGGGGAAATAAACAAAACTGGATAACTTAAATTAACACATGGAAAATGATCTTCAAAGATAAACAAACTTATTACATTTCAACAGACTCCCTATTTTTCATACCCAATAACCACATCCATAGCTTCATTGGCCACTCAATAGTTAAAGGAAATACCTGGAAATAAAAGGGAAACAAAAAAGAGAAGAATCAGCAATAAGCAGCAGCAGAAACCAACTTAGAACCAGCAACGAAACAGTGCCAAGGTCAGCAAATCAAGCTTCAGTTTATCGAACCAATTCTCATATTCAAAACCCCAAATGCACGATTTTCTACTAAACCTTTAAAATTCTGACTTATCACAAAGGAATCAGAACTCAAAATCAAGCAGAAATTCAAACTATTTTCAACACTTCTCTTAAAAGAAAGAACTCAGCCGTTTCAGTTTTTTTTTCCAGAATTTTTAATCTCTAAAATCTGACTTGTGGGTGAAGAAAGATTGCCTTTATAGGCAAGCTTTTAGGGAAGCAAGAGTGAATTCATTTTTGCACATTAATCCTTTTAGAATTTTCATTTTTGCTGTTTAATCCTTAGTTCAAAAATCAGGTTTTCAGAATAAGTCCCAAGGACACCTTTCCAGAAGCTTCCCTATTCAGTTACAAATATATTCCCTAGCCTAAATTCTTAGACTACCCCTTAAACCCCTAAAAATTACCTCAGTGAACCCAAACAGGTCAGTGTTGAACCAGGGTCCAAATTCGAAAATTGGGTTGGACAAAGCCCGCTTGAATCCCTTTTGGGCTTCTAATTTCCAAAACCCAATTCAATCGGCAATCAAAATTACCTAACTAAATGACCTACAGAGTCATAAAGACTCCTAAGTTCTTGGGCTCAAAGAAAGGTAGAAACAAATAAAATTTAAACAAAAATCTAACACAAGAAAAAAATCATGCTAATTAAGACGAACTTAATACTAACATGCATAAACAATGACTCTGAAGAAACTGGGAAAACAAGAGAGAATAAGAAAGAAAGCAGAAGAAAAGAAAGAAACAGAAGGAAATGAGATGAAAGGAAAAATCGAAGAAAAGATTAAACAAAAGAAAAAGGGGAAACATCTAAAATAGCTCGGACAGTAAAGAATGACAACGAATCTTCAAATCTTCAAATATAGGCCGAGTTTGACATTAATCGTGTGTTCTTATCAAGAACACACGAATAATATCCAACTAGACCCCAATCTTCACTGAAATCTCGATTTTGAGGTT